TTTTTTTTTTTTGTTGGAATTTTCGGTTTTTTTGGGAATTTTCTTTCGTTGTCGTTTTCTTTGGAGTTAATTTTATTTAAAATATAATTATTTAAAACATCCCAATTTTCTCGTTTTTCCTGGGGGGTTTTGGGGTCGTTTCGGGGCGGAAAAACAAGTTTTTGGGGGAAAAACTTGAATTTTTGGGGAAAAAAAAAAAGAAATTTTCAAAAAAAAAGGAAATTTTGGCGGGGGAATTGAAATTTTGGGAGAAAAGTAAAAATTTCGGGGATAAAAATGGAATTTTGGGGGGAATGGAGTCTTTTGGGGAATATATAATTTTTGGAGAGTTAAAAATAGAAAATTTGGGACAGAAAATGGAATTTTGGGGGGTTTTTGGTTGGATTTGGGGTGAACTTTGGGGGGTTGGGACTTTTTTGGGTGAATTTTATTTTTTTTCCTAATTTTTCAGTTTTTTGGAAATGTTGAGAATTTTTTGTTGGATTCTTGGGGTTTTTTTGTTGGTATTTTGTGGAATTTGATTTTTTGGGGTGAATTTTGGCCGATTTTTGGGTGAATTTTTGGATTTTTGGGATGAATTTTGGGGTTTTTTGGGGTGAATTTTGGGATTTTTTGGGTGAATTTTGGCCTTTTTGGGGTGAATTTTGGGATTTTTTGGAGCTTTTGGGTGAATTTTGGCCTTTTTTGGGGCTTTTATTGGGTGAATTTTGGGCTTTTTTGGGGGGGAATTTTGTGGTTTTTTGGGTGAATTTTGGGATTTTTTTTGGGATTTTTTTGGGGTGAATTTTGGGATTTTTTGGGGGGTGTTTTTTGGGTGAATTTTGGGGGTTCTTGGGTGAATTTTAGGAATTTTTGGGGCTTTTTTTGGGTTAATTGTGGGATTTTTTTGGGGTTCTTTTTGCGTGAATTGTGGGATTTTTTGGGGGATGTTTTTTGGGTGAATTTTGGGGATTTTGGGTGAATTTTGGGATTTTTTGGGGGGTGTTTTTGGGGTGAATTTTGGGGTTTTTTGGGGTGAATTTTGGGATTTTTTTGGGGGTGTTTTTGGGGTGAATTTTGGGGTTTTTTTGGGTGAATTTTGTGATTTTTTGGGGGTGTTTTTGGGGTGAATTTTGGGATTTTTTGGGGTGAATTTTGGGATTTTTTTGGGTGAATTTTGGGGTTTTTGGGTGAATTTTGGGCCTCTCTCCCCAGGTTCCGGAGCGGCCGCGGGCGGAACGTTCTGGAAAAATCCCGAAATTCCCGGAGCTCGCCTGGGCCCCGCTTTGGGCGGGGGGAGGAGCCCCAAAATTCCCAAATTTCTGAATCCGGGGAGCCCCAAAACCGGCGGATTTCACCCCAAATTTTGGGGTTTCCCTTCGGGTGCAAAAAAACCCCCAAAAACCCCCAAAAACGCGGGAAAAAAACCTCAAATTTTTCACTTCAAACGCAACAATTCAATTAAAAGGAAAAATTAATTGCGCTCATTAGCGGCGTGACTAATAAACAGGACGCTGGTGACGTCATTGGCTCCGCCCACTTTGTGCTGACTCGCGTTAATTACGGGCAATTAATTGGGGTTAATCAATGGGAGAGGGGGCGGGCACTCGTTAATTAGCCCCGCCCTCATTAATTAACCCGCTAATCATCAATAATCGGCCTCATTTGCATTAATCGCGCGCCAATTCCGCGTTGCCATGGGTGGGGGGCGGCGCTGATTGGCCGCGGCGTTGCTAGGCGTGTTCTGATTGGCGGAAGCTTTGCTAGGCGTGTTCTGATTGGCTGCGGCGTTGCTAGGAGGTTTCTGATTGGCTGCGGCGTTGCTAGGCGTGTTCTGATTGGCTGCGGCGTTGCTAGGCGTGTTCTGATTGGCTGCGGCGTTGCTCGGAGGGTTCTGATTGGCTTCGGCGTTGCTAGGCGTGCTCTGATTGGCGGGGGCGTTGTTAGGAGGGTTCTGATTGGCCGCGGCGTTGCTAGGCGTGCTCCAATTGGATGAAGCGTCGTTAGGTGGGCTCTGATTGGCTGCGGCGTTGCTAGGCGTGCTCCCATTGGCTGGGCTCTCATATGAGAGCTCTGATTGGCTACAGCGTCGCTAGGCGCGCTCTGATTGGCTCCGCCTTCTCTAGGCGCGCCCTGATTGGCTGAAGGTCTCGCGTCGCTTCCGTTTCCTGCCCCACGTGACCCGCGGCGCTCTTAAAGGGGCCGCGCCCGGCCGGGGTTTTGTTTTGGGGAATTTTGGGGGATTTTGGGGGATTTTGGGGGATTTTGGGGGTCCCGGGCCATGGGGGGGGAGAACGTGTTCCTGTTCGTGCCCAACCTCATCGGTGAGCGCCAACTGGGAGCACTGGTTTGTACTGGGAGGGACTGGGAGGGGTCTGGGGGGGACTGGTTTGTACTGGGAGGGGACTGGGGGTCACTGGTTTGTACTGGGAGGGGACTGGGGGTCACTGGTTTGTACTGGGAGGGAACTGGGGGT